CAAGTCGTGTGCCTGGTAGTAAGCTTTAAATCACAAAGGTTTGAGGAGCACTGCGACTGCATCCGTCACCCTGACACTTAAGTTGACAAAACTTGTCAACTTAAATTACAGTAATTTCACCAGCACGCAGCACCTTCAAAACCAGAACGCAGTAGTAACATTCACGTCACTGCTTAACGGGAGACAACACTATTTCTGTCGCCAAGCAGTGACCGAGTTCGATTCTCTAGTTTTATTTTCCCTATGAGGCTAGAAAATCAAACCAAAGAAATCCGAAAATTGAAATAATTATAATAAAAAAAAAATTTACAATTTAAAACTTAAATTTAAAAAAAAACGGTGCATAAATATAATACGGGTCGTGGTAACGTGCCTTAAGACTTGAGGTTTTCCGCTTCCGAGGATGGTACTCCCCTATATAGTTGCCGGCGCAGAAGAAGGGCCACAGGACGAGCCAGCAATTCGTAGCCATTCAACGGAAATGCTTCGTCCTAGTCCGGACGTAGTCAAGCTCCAGATGTATGAACCCGAAGGAAGCTCAGCAAAGGTAGCTTTCCAAACCGAAAGTAGTTTTCCAACCCGAAGGTAGTTTAATCCGAAGGTAACTATTATCCCGAAGGTGACTCCTGCAACGGAGAACCAACTGGCAGTAAAAGCTCAGTGACGGCAAAAGAGAATTAGGGAAGCACCTACGTAGTTGCATTTGCCGGTGGCGCGACCAGAACGGAGTTGCAGTTTAAAATGTGTAAAAATAGAAAAAAAAAATTTAGGTACCTAATAAGGCTGAAGGCCGAGACGTTTGCTCTTGAAGACGTTCTGACGCTGTCTGTCAGAGCTCGGCGGGCGCCGGCGGCGCCTCCCGTCTCTGCGTCTCCGACATCATTCGCAAATGCAACGTAAGCTGCCATAGATTTCATCAATTTTGTCTATGGTAAATCATGGTTTTAGTGTTTTATAATCAATTAATATTTAAAAATAGGATATATTTGTTGAAGATAATATTTGTGTTATATTTTTGATAGTGTTAAATTTGAAAAACTATTTATTCTAAAACGAATTTAACAACGTTGGCACGTCACGTGACGGGTGCAATGACAGTGCACCTCAGATCTTTGTGATTTCAAGCTCTGAGTGGCACTGCAATTGTTATGGACAGGCGTGTAGCTGACGAATAAGCGCATGACCTGTTCGTCCCGTCAATTGATAATATAAAAAAAAGACTAAGTAAAGTGGCAGTACTTGCCTGGACGAACTATTTCACAAGCAGCTCTACTACTTACTGCATGTATACTTGTATATGTACAATACAAATGCCACTGTGACGTTCGTTACGCAGTACAACGAGCGAACGACGCATCACATGAACAGTAAATGTTCTGGTGACAGTAAGGAGAAATTCAATATGCAGATTTATTCGCACCATATCCGCTCCAGTAATGTCTGACAGTGCGCTCTGTCACGACAATGTGTCGTTCATGCGCTTGCGCACAGTGCTGTTAATATTGCAGTATGACATCTTTACTAAAAGTAACTATTGCACAATACAGACTACTAAAGACAACAATTGGTATTTAAGTATGAAGGTTTCTAGATTTATACTAAATTGGTACATTTAACTGCCTTATTGGACATTTATCGAAATAAGGAAAAAAATCACAAGATTATAACTTAGGGGAATATTGAAGGACAAGGAAAAGAAGAAGATCTATAATGGCGTAAAGTGATCACATTAAGAACATCAAAGTTAGCAGCTATGAAGAGCTTGACCTGAGCTGGCTATGAACCGTGAGGAGTGGAGATGGCTACACCGACAAGATGATGATAAACTGCCAAAACCTATACACATTCAAATATAAAACCATAGTGTTTTCCTTTTTGTCATATCCAGCACTTTAGTCATTTTGTGTATGTCAATCAACCATTTTATTACGATATTCATGTGTAGCATGCCGCCGTGATAAAACTAATATATCCACACTTAACTATCAAATTCGAGTGATAAAACCGCCATTTACAAATTTTATCACAATATCAAACATAGCGAACACCGTGACGTTAATATTTTTGTCGCACAACGCGCGTCGCGTAACGTAAACAAACAACGTAAAAATTGAGCGCGACAACGGTTTTTCTTCGCAATTTTTCACAAAGACTTTGTGTGTGGCTTTTGCAAATTTTTAAAGCGTTTTCCGTCGTTTTTCATTATTTGTTTATTGAGCATTGCTTACAGAGCCATCAGCATAAACAGATAACAAATAATTAAGAAACTTAAAACATAAACAATACTTAAACTAAAAATAATTTATGTGAAACCTGTAACTATAAAAACCCGCTATTTTTCTTTCTTCGTTTTACAACGATGCAATTAAAAGGATGATTAAACGACAAAGAAGCTATATAAGCATTTTTATATCCTTATCTTTGTTCTTCAAACTATCAATCAATCGAATAATCAAAAAAACGAATGACACTATTTAGTACCTCAATAAAAAAAAAAATAGTGGAAATTTAGCTTTACCAACTGAGATAAATTTGTCACGGGGAGGTTTAGTAACGCTATGCTACGGACACTGGTGATATTAATGTTGAATGTTGGTTTCCTGTAATCGTTGGCTTATTTCGCTTGTTTCGCTACTGGCAGCTAACAACCAATCGAGTTACTCAGCTTACGGGGACCGTTTACCGTACGGTGTCATTTTATTTAGTTCGTCAGTGGTCGTATTCTGACTGGTGTTGATAAGATTATATATAACACCTAAAATTTAAAATTAATACTCTATGGTCACACATTCGGTGACCACACGCACGCTACTCACATGGGACATTTGCTCGGTCGCGGAATCTGTATAATTCGTCCGGACGAGGCGGGACCGTCCCGGAATTGACTTACGCGGAATCTTGGAATATGTTGTCACTGCATTAACTTTGTCGCGGCTTGAGTAAACTGTAAATCGTTTTAGTTTGACAAGGAGTTCGAATCTTCTAAGACAAACTTTGAAATCTTAATTTTTTTTTAAGTAAGAGTAGATATTCCGAGTTTCTCTTAAGTGAATTAACTAACTTAAAAAGATGATTTTTTCTTTTATGATACCAAGTGATGGGACTAACAAGTCGTGCGTCTGCTGTTAAGCGACATAGCAGTTGCAGTACAGTAGACATCTGATGCATACTGCCACTGTACCTGTGACCCTGAGACAGAAGTTGAATGTGTGTGTGATTTCACCAGCACGTAAGCGTGCTTTAAAACCGTTACGCAGTAATTGCTTACCTTAGTGCTTGGCGGCAAAAATAGATAAAGTTGCAGTATTTCCCTGGGCGAACTTTTTCACAAGAAGCTCTACAGCTACTAAACTTTACTACTCTAGTTTAATACTAGGTATTGTATACTCAAAAACTAATAATATAGCTGTCTAAATAAAACTATTAAAACCCATCATACTTATATGAAATTATTGACATGATTGATTTCGATAACCTCCGTGGTCGAGTGGCTAGTACGCTGGTTTTCATGGTGTTGTATCTCTGAGGTCCCGGGTTCGATCCCCGGCCGGGTCAATGTAGAAAACTAACTTTTCTGTATTATATCGGGTCTGGATTTTTGTTGGTACCCTCGTTATTTCCGATTTTCATAACACAAGTGCTTTAGTAAAGTAAGGAACTTTGGGATCAGACCAACGTATGTGATATTGTTTAATATATATCATCTAATATTCAATGGCAGACATCTTTGGATATTACAATTATCAAAATGCTGCTTGTATTCAGTTCTGGAACAAAACAGTTTCTAAATATGAGGGATGGCAAACCTTTTCACCCATAACAATTGTTTTCACATCAATGTCCATCTGTACATCTGTGTGTTGGTAAAGTATGTATGTTAGGCGGGCACTCGTTAATCATTCAGAGAGAGTTGGGGCGCTTGACAAGTTCATTTGACACAGGTTTAGCAAAACGATCGGTAATTTTGTAGTCGAGATAAACAATTAGAAAGTTGGCATTCGTGGATTTACAAGGAAAGATGTAACAAATCTTAAGTTTTGCATAGGTATCGTCATTCACATAAACATGACCATATTTACTCATATTAAAACTGCAGTATACAAACTCATCAAATTTTCAAAAGTTTTTTGACATACCGCGTTCTTAGGTTTTCGCGATTGTTACACATAGGAAATGAAACTATTTTTCCGGATTTAAATCGCGTATATTTGTTTTTTCAAACAAACCGACGTATCGGGCCCTTTACAGGTCCCATGGTCACGGTTGACAGTCTACAATAATTACAGGCTCGTGGGACTTGTCAACTTAAGTCTTAGGGTGACGGGCGCATTGGCAGTGCATCGCAGGTAATTGCGATATCAAGCTCCGAGTGGCACTGCAACTGTTGTGTATAGGTGTATCGCTTACCACCAGGTGCCGAGGTGACTTGTTCGTCCCGTTGATTGGTATTCAAAAATCTAGTGTGTACATAGCAAATATACGTACGCCTCTACGAAACTCGATTTTTGGCACGATCCATTACAACTAACTCGAGTGTGGCATGAAAAAATTATCCATACTGTGCACTGACGTCCAACGTCAATGACCCCACGTGGTAAGGTTAAAACGTGTCTATAATTAGCTCCGCACAGCTCTTGCTCTGGTTTCTGTCGTGGCCGCTGTAAAAATTAACGTAAACAAATACGTTCTCTCACGCATGGGTGGCCTGACAAACCGACAAATTCAAACAGCCTCATAATTGTTAAACATGAAGGAGGATGTAACGACGATGCAATTTAGCAGACTGATGGAATTCTGGGGGCATTGTTTGTCATTCGTCTTTTATTTCAATGTTAGTGGGGTCACTGAAAATAGATCACTTGCACGATGACTCTTTTGTGTTGAATTTTGAATGTGTATTTATGGAAACTGCTGTTGAAAACACACTTTGGTAATTTGAATTGTTTATAATACGAACATAACTCGTTATTTTTAAACTACCCCCAGGGTAGAGTGGTGAAGATTGCTAAAATATATTTGGTGTACTTTCAAACACGCTTTATAAGTTTTTATCAAAAGTACTCGTAAAAAGGATGTAGGGGAGGGGAAATGATTTATCGATTTATAAGTAGATTGTTTTTAATGCTTTCCATACCAATACTACGTGAAGAGGCAAAGTTGACCCGCCAGGTATTGAGTTAATTTTGCTTAAACGAATTCGCGGGCTCAAGCTAGTTCGTTATATAAATTATATTATCGCTGTTGTGACGGAACGCATTATGTGTAATAAAAATGTACATTACTTATAATCTAGCAAATCCATTCCAGGTTATTAAAACTTATAACGAAGAACAAAATGAGGTATATAATTAAACAAGCGTAATATTATACTATTTTAGTTGGTCCATTTCTAAAAAAAACTTTGCATAAAATTTTAAATCATAAATTGTACAAATCAATATTTACGCATATACATAAGTAAATTTAACGCAAACAAGTTCCATAACCTTCCAGTGGATTTAAGGGGATCCCGCGTCGTATCATATGACAAACATGATCATTGAGTCTATATTTTACCCCTGCTGGTACTATGGACAATTTGTGAGACTCCACATTGCTCCAAAGCCTTTCCGCTACAGCGCAGGTTCGAGGCCACACTTGAGTCATTAAATGTTTATCATCCACCTTCTCTCTCCACATACAAGCCTCTCCTCCGATTACAAGCTTGGTAATCCAAGCTTTATTTGTGATATTCGTTATCATCTTTCGAAGATCTGTTCTGTAGAAGTCATCGAAATCGTTCGATTTGTTCAAGTACCATTTTGATGAATACAGTACTTGGTATCCCTGTAGCATAGGTCGCAACATATCTTTAGTATCATCTTTCCACACATGCACTATAGTATCTAAGTTTAAAGGCACGCCGTTATCGAAAACATCTTGCCAAACTATAGGTGCTGTATCATTTCGTAGCAGTGAGGAAATATTTAGATAAAACTTTGCCAAAAGATCACGACTTTTCAGGTTGTTGTCTTTCAAGTATTTATTTATTATAGGATTGGATTCCCAACAGGGAAAATCAATTTCGGCCCCACCGAGATGAAAATGTTTGTCCTTGAACAAGGTCTGTACTTTATGAAATAGACGTCCAATCAGTTTGTAAGTGGTATCGTTGATCGGGTTCATAGTTCCCGAGGTAATATTACTTTGGTTTTCTCTATTGCATTCTGCTGTTATATTTGGATATGCATGACTCCACGAATGAGCGTGTGATGGAACGTATTCAGGTATGACACGAACACCCCTTTCTCGAGCGTATTTGATTACATTTAAGATGTCTTTGTTCGTGTAGACCGATGATGAGTTAAATGCACCTTTCTGATTTAATTTAGGTGAAACTTTCCTCTGATAAGGCAAGCTTTGATCATTCTTCATGTGCCAATGAAATACGTTCATTTTATTGATAGCCAACGCTTTTATTGTCAAAAAAATGTATGGCAGAGAAAGATAATGCCTTGAAGTGTCGATTAAAAGACCGCGGTGCAAATAACGCGGGTAGTCGTGGATGTCAGTTTTATATACGCATATTTGCCTGTAGTCAGCGGCTAGGAAAAACAGTTGTGAAAATGTTTCTAGGCCTCTAATGATGCCCCAAATTGAAGCGCTTTTTAGCCTGGATTTTGCCGATACGGTGAGGGTGTAGGCTTCTTCCATACCAAGCTGTGGATACTCTTCGCACTCATTAGTTAGCGCCACTTGTAGTTTCTGTATCGGTCCCTTAATTTTGGTGTTACCAGTTTTTATCTCCGAATTGTTGGCACCCTTCTTTATTAACTTTTGAAGTCTTTTTATATTGAACATGCACCGATTAATAGCTGCAGTCAGTAATGGGCATGTGCCATGCGTAATCTTAACTTTAAATTGCTGTAGATCGTAAGTATACAAATCTTTGTGTTTTACCTGCATTTGTGGTCTGGGCCAGACTCTGCCGAGAGTCGAACCATCGTATTTTGGGCCATGTGCACTTACTACGAAATATATATTTAGAGCGCAAAAAAACACAGTGCATCGAAGCATCGCTAAAGACGATCTGTCGATCGACACAGTCTTTCAACAAAAACGGGAAATCTTTTTTATACTACTCTATGATGTATAAAAAACATTCACAAACACTGAGCACTTTTTCCATAAGAATATAATTTAATGTAATTCAATCATTACAATAAGTGTTATCTTTTTAATGTATAATGTAATTGTGATAGGAAGGAAAATAAGGAATATTTATTATTGTATTCGTGGTTGAATAGATCACTGGGTGATGTTTAAGTCAGTGGTATCCAAATCTCTCGACCTGGCCTTTGCCAGTAAATATTTGTCATTATTGCAAGAAACAATGCAGGAAATTAGAAATCTAGAAGCGAAGGATGTTTTTTACACGATTATTATAAGACTTGCTTCCGAAATAGGACTAATGTTACGCTATTTAACAACATTATATTATTTTACATAATCAAATAAATATATTTGCCGAAGAACCGTTAACCGATGGGGGATGCGAGTTCTTGAGTGGTGAATTGCGAAAGGTTGCTGGCAGCAAATGGATGCGGCAAGCTGGGATTGAGAGAGGCCTATGTCTGGAAGTGGATTGTGATAGGAATGTTATTGTAACCTTCCGAACTACCACATAATATTTCCAAGATCGCCTGTTTTAAGCACAAAGTTCAAATATCTTTCTGATAATGTAGCTGTAGGTACGTAGCAACTTTCTTGGTTCCTAAGACAACACCTACTTCCTTGGTTCATCAAAATACGCTTCTAACCGTGTTCAGTCCAGTTTTCATTACGGTTCTGTATAGTCATTGTAATTTTCAAGATGCGTGCATGTAATTTTCAAAACTAGCGACAATATGGAGAGTCGAATGGTATAACCAAACCAAATACAGAAGGAAGCAGAGCAATTCTATCTAGTTACTCTGCTGATAATAACTCTTATATTAAATAAATAAATAATGTAAGTAAATCAAACGTTTGTGAATATGAAAGAAAAAACCGATTGTACGTCATTTTTTATGTGCTACGCGAAATTTACAAATTAGGTAAGTACGAGATCCAGTTGTACCTATCCGAGAACCCAGAGATGTATATAGAGTACATTACCAAAGGCAGCAGGCGTCAAAAGTTAAATATGAATAGCTGTCGATCATCGTGTGCAATAATTGTCATAATTATTGCATGTAACAGTTTGACAAACGCGGACATGTCAGTTTCGAACGGAAGTTCTTACGTAAGTGTGAAGCTACGTTTACATATCAGCTGAATAGATTTTCCGGTAGACCCATACTATATAGAAGATTCGCGGTCTTGCAATATCATATGTTTTATTATATTTAAACAGCAATAGATTTTAGAGATTATGATTAGCAAGGTGAGTATACCTATGTTCACTATGTTCTATAATAACATAGTGAGTAAACTCTGAAAGGAATTGCTGCATAGCAATGAGCCTGTTGCAACTTACTATTTTCATACTTGTTACTGTACAGTGACTACACATGTCACTGTAATTTTACATGCAATAAATAATATTTTATTCATATTTCATTCATAGATTTCTGAAACTATGACTGGGTTAATGTCTATGCCACAAAATTTTCTGCATTGTGTTATAGTCGTCGACGTGTCTCAATTAATAGTAATCCTTTGTGAGTATCTTCTGTTATAATAATAATAACGCACACACTCATAGCCTCGCATTAGAGAAACCTACAACGAACAGAAAGTGTCGCGAGTGCCGCATGCCGTGGATACACGCAAATTACATCCAAACTTAACGACAGAAATAGAGGCCATACAAATATTTCTTCCGGCCCGGGAATCAAACCCGGGACCTCTGCGTGGCAGACAAGCGTGATAACTTTTTAGTTTTATTAAGTTATATTACAACGAAGCAATTAAAAACGAATGTCAAGACACAGAACATGTTCGCGACCAAATATGAAAGCAGCTGACTACACGGGTAGAAACAATTAATGCCCTGTTGTCCGGAATGGCTTGCATTCACGCACTGTGCATTGTAGAAGAAAGTGAGCCTCTTACGACATAGAGCTGTTTACTTGCTGCTTATATTGTGTAGCCACTGGGGCTTGTCGTATGTGAACATTATATCGTAACGCTTGCTGACACCCTGACGTCCCATTGGATCTTTTTATGTTTATTGCACGGCTGTGGAGTGATACAATGGTGCTTGTAGGTGCCGCACACAAAGTATGTTTGATCTACTTTCTTGTCTACTGTCCGATTCTGCATCCGCGAAGACCAGTTAAAGGCAACGGATAGGGCACAGAGGTGGCTGCTTATTGGTCCAAAGAAAATTAGCACCGGTTTGTTATTTTATATTTGTTCGTTTTTGTTATTGACTCGTCAAGAAGAAGAAGAAAACGATAGCAGAGTTGAGTGCGTGTTTGTCGTAAACTACAAAGTGTTGGTTTAGGTCTCCGACACTGCATTGCGCCTTTGAATTTTCTTGAATATTTGTTTATATTAAAATAATCTGACTGGACGATGTATAAAAAAAGCTATTAATGAAATTATTTAAGAACGCGTGTTCTTAAATAATTTCATTACGTCATTTTTTACGGGGTGATCCATGTATGAAATGAATACACTTTCTGAGTAGTAGTATTAGAAAGCCCATCATGTCCCTGCAAAATTGGTTGTATATTATTAGTACAATTGATTTGGGTTTATATAATAAACTTATTTATTCTGACTGTATTTTGTATCATGGTAACGACGGGCTTCATTGTCGAAGAAGTTTTAAGCCTTCCAATACCTGTTTCAACAGATAAGTTAGACAAGTGATAATTATTAAATCAGATTACAAACGTAACGTTATAATGTATGTTTTTATTTTTACATTTAAAATTTTACCGTTGGCACACTACGTCTCCCGTTCTGTTTAGCTTTCCTCTACCTTATCTGGAAGAGATCTCTTTTAGTGATACAGCCGCTTTTGCCCACATTAGTTCTAAGTTTTCCATATACTATTTTTGTTCTTGTGTGTGAGCAATAGCATCTGTCAATATATATCTATCTATCTATTTATCAACAAATGTTTGTTAAACTCTGTTCTCATGCAAACTAGGCTGTTACTGCAAGGTTTCGTTTAATTATTTATATTGGTATAACGTACAACTTCTTTCTATATTTTCAATTGTATCCAAGAATATTTCTGTTCTAATTGAATCGTAAATTACTTTGAATTCTTCTGCTTTATCGTTTTTCTCTGTCCATAACATATAAATATGTTATCAATTTCAAATACTCTTGCATCTCGTAAGTATAAAACTTTTTCCCTCTCGTAATAAATTTCACAAAAATTCATTAAACAATTTGTCTTCCAGATTGTAAACATAAAATGGGCCACATCAAAGCGTACAATTTGTCGCGACAGTTCCATTGACAAAATCCATTAATGTGGCGTCGTGTAATTAGTAAACAAATGAGCCGAGTGACAGATTGGGATTCTTGGCATCGTGACAACGAGGTTGTACCTAAAGTGGTGTGCATGGCAACCGAAGAAAAAAGGGAATAAGGTTACAGTTACCTCTTCCAGTGACGCAGCGCTTATAATAAATATTATAAATATTAAATATCACATGCGTTGCACTGATCTCAAAGTAAGTAACTAAAGTACTTGTATTAAAGAAATCAAAAAGAGCGACGGTACCATGAACACCCAAACTAGAGACATAATAAATAGAAAAGTTAGTTTTTCTACTACGGAGATCGTCGTTATTACAGATTAATTTGCTTTTAATTATTTATATGACATTTAATCAAGCCTTTCATACAAATAAATTTATTATCTTAAATCCTTATGAGTCTGGTAGAAGAGATATTTGATAATTCCGTAGTATTGGTACTCATATAAGACAACAGACATGCAATACATCTGAAGGTGCCTATGGATTTGCTCCACTTTCGGATTAAGTTACTACGCAATAAATGATTTAGTTCGCCGGGTTTTGGTATTGGCTAACGTGCCCTGTGTCTTGGAGCCTCCTGTGCCGTACAGACGGCAAGAGACCTGATGGCCTTGCACTGGTTCCGTGGCAGAAGGGCTGGTGCCTTTTGTGGGACGCTACGTATCAGTACGTTTGCACCGTCCCACCTGAGTCACACCACCAGATCTGCCGTCAGGTGCAGAGTATGCGGCAAAATTGAAACATGCCAAGTACAGTGCCTTGGAGCCGATGTACGGTTTTGTGCCAATTGCACTGGACTGCGGGGACTTGGGGTGCCAAAGAACTCATCAGGGAGTTGGGTCGTCGGCTTAGAGAAAAAGGCTATGATCCACGCTCTGGATCTTACTTGGTGCAACAAATTGCGTTGGCTATTCAGCGCGGTAATGCTGCCAGTGTTATGAGGACGTTTGAGCCAGCTAAGATTCAGAGCGGTCCTGTTTCTTTCTTATAGTTAAATAGAAATGACTAAGTCTAGCGAATTGAATTATTCATTTCTTTGTGACGAAGCCTTTTGCTGATTTATATTTGTGTCTTCCTGTCGAAACCTATGTTGCGGATTGACATAATTATGTAATTAATTTAGTTATTTAATTATTGACGTTTAGTGGAATAAATAATGTAGTTACTATTAGATACTATTTATTAGCGATAAATATAAAGGTTAAAATGGAACAAATTTGTAGGCACTTTTGCCTAATTTAAATTCCAAAGTGTCGTTTGACAAAAAAATGTTGTCGATCGTCTGTCGCTTACACTTTACTCAATTTTGTCTGATCACACGTGTCTGTCAAATCTGTGTGCGAAATACAAGCAAAATACTTCCATTATATACACCGATAATTAAAAATCAACTAAATAATAAATAAAGACAAACACTATAAGTTTAAACAAAAAGAATGAATACATACACTTAACGTCATTATTATACAATTTAAATATTTTTCATTGCCAGTAGTTTTGATTACAAAAAGGTTTGTTATAACA